AAGTTAATTCAACTGTGGTGGAAGCCATGGACCTGTATTCTGCTTCTGAACTAGATCGAGCAACTGTAGGTTGCTTCTTTGAACACTAGGAAATGCAATTATCACCTAGGAAAGCACAAAAACTGTTGTGCTTCTTCTGGTTAAGGGACAACCTGTCCAATCGGCATATGAAAAAGCATACAAAGAGAGAGGACTTTTAGAAATGAACCGTAAGCCATAGTCTTGTGTACCTTTAAGGTGCCGAAGAATTCGCTTGACTACTTTAAGATGTAGTTCTGTGTGTGGGGGGGGGGGGGGGGGGGGGGGGGGGTTGAAGAATCGACAAACTTTATTGACAACATGTTGAATGTCTGGTTGAGTGAATGTGAGGTGTTGAAGAGCACCAACAATACTTCTATAATAAGTAGCATCTACACCATTTTGTTTTGACATATTTTCTTTTTCTTTGAGAACCATAGGCGTAGCATTAGGAGTACAATCTATCATCCTTGTATGGTTGAGAAGATCCTTGATATATTTGCCTTGAGAGAGAATGATTCCTCCATTAAAGTATTTAATTTCCACACCTAAAAAGAATGTTATACATCCAAGATCCTTTATAGCAAATTCTGCACTTAATTGATAAATTAAGTTAGAGATGAAGGAGTCATTATTTCCAGTCACCAATATGTATCTACATATATGAGAAGCAATATTGTAACAGAATTTTGACGATAAATAAATAAAGAAGAATCTGTCTTACTACAATAAAAACCAAGATGAAGAAGAAACCGAGATAAGCGATCAAACCAAGTTTGGGGAGCTTGCTTTAGCCCATAAAGGGACTTGTGAAGAAGGCACACATGATCAGGTTTGTGTGGATCCACAGAACCATGGGTTGTTTGATATACACAATCTCCTTTAAATCATGCAAAAAGGCGTTCTTCACATCCAGTTGTTTCATGTACCAATTTAGAGAAGTTGAAAGTGCTATCACAAGACGAATAGTAGTATGACGAATAACTGGGCTGTAAGTCTCATCAAAATCAATACCCAAGACTTGTGTAAAACCACGGGCAACAAGACAAGCATTGAAGCGCTCAATATATCCATCATCTCGTTGATTTATATGATAAATCCATTTTGACGCAACAACATTTACATTTTGAGGTCGAGGAACTAGTGACCAGGTTTGGTTAGAGTGAAGGGCCTGTAGTTTCTCTTTCATAGCCATAACCCATCGAGGATCTTTTAGAGAAACATGATAATTTCGAGGTTCAATAGGTAACTCGACTTGAGATAGACATTTATAATCTTGTAGATGTTTTGGAGGTTGCCTATGGCGTTGAGGATGAACATAATTTTCACTTTCATTATTGTTAATATGTGTATCAACAATATGCCCAGGCAAGTCATTTAGCAAAGTGAGAGTTTGTGTATCTACCGGTTCAGCTGCAACTAAGGTTTCATCTGCATAACGCACATTAACATCAGGCAAAACTCCATCATTATCAGGAGATTCAACATTATTATCATTATAACATCCGTCATGATCATTATTTTCATCACAGCAACCAGTAGTAGTTATAATAGATGTTTGAGTTGCTGACTCTGCATTTGTTCCCACCTTTGGAGGTTTAGCTTCAAGAGTGACTTTAAACCATTCATCATGTGCTGGAAATTTAACAAAATCTAATGGCATAGGAATTGCTTCTTGAGGAGAGGGTTTATAGAGAAATTTACCTTCATCGAAGACAACGTGTCTGGATATATATACTCTTTTTGTTCGAGGTTCATAGCATCTATAACCCTTGTGAATAGGACTATAACCAGTAAATACACAAGGATAAGTTTTCTTAACAAATTTATTACCTCCTTGATGTCTTAGAGAAGGAAAGCATAAGCATCCAAACACTCGTAAGCTTTTGTAATTTGGTTCTTTGTGATGTAGTTTAGAGTATGGAGATTGATTGTGTAAAACTAAAGTTCGCATTCTGTTGATTAAATAGACAGCTACAATAAAAGCTTCAACCCATAAAAATAAAGGTAAGTTAGCATGAAATAACATAGTTAAACCTGTCTCAACAATGGGCCGATGCTTCCTCTCGACCACTCCGTTTTGCTCAGGTGTTCCAGGACATGAAACCTGGAGCTGAATACCACAATTACTAATATGACAGAGAAAATCAAAGGAGTTAAATTCTTCACCACCATCACATTGAAAATTTTTTATTTTTCTATCAAATTGATTTTCTACTAATTTTTGAAAACAAAGAAAAAAAATCTGACTTTTTCTTTAAAGGATATAACCAAGAAAATCTTGAAAAACCATCTATAAATATAACATAAAACCAAAATCCTTAATTTGAAACAGTAGAAGCTGGTCCCCAAAGATCACAATGAACTTTTTGTAAAGGATAACTAGACATATCATTATTCAAATTAAAAGGTAATTTACAACTCTTTCCAGATTGGCAACTAGCACAGATAGATGACTTAGTTTTCCAATTAGTGACATCAATGACTTTCTTTCCTTTTAACAGGGATAAAATCTTTGCACTTGGATGTCTAAGGCGTTGGTGCCACAAAGAAAATGAGTTGTCCCCTTTTATTGAATATAAAGCTTCTTGAAAACCAGGTTCCAAAGTATAGAATTGTCCTTGACTATGCTCATTCCCTATTATTCTCTTGTTTTGATCCTTAATAACAAAATCAGATGGTGTGAATTCAATAGTACAAAAATTATCACTAGTGATTTTACTTACTGAAATTAAATTCTTTTTCAGTTCCGGAACAACAAGAACATCTTTTAAATTTAATTCTCCAACACATGCATTTCCAGTATGTGTTATATCAAATTTGTTTCTGTTTCCAACATAGATAACATCATTTCTTTTATATGGTTTTGTATAAGACAAAATACCTGCATTGTTGTTCATGTGAGCTGTAGCTCCCGAGTCCATGTAAAAAGAAGGATCATTGTTGTCTAAGGTGAGAGTTGTCAATGCTTGTAGTAGATCTTCTGATTGATAGGAATAGTCAAATCTATACCAACTGTAGACACTTAAATTTTGATAAATATTGATTATTTATCAATATTAGTATATTTGAATATATTTGAAATATTTTGGATAATATTGATATTATATTATTATCTAATTTGTTAATTAAATAATATCAAAAGAGTTTGAGCTTATCAAAACTCTCTATCCTACAGCTATAAATAGGGCATTTCATTTCTATGTAATCACACACATCCTAGGAAAAAAGCATAGAAAGATCAAGTTTATTCAGAGATCAAATAAAAATGTGATCCTGAAAGTAAAAGCCCCCCTCCTCCAATCCAATCATGCCTGTTGATCCAAACCTCCATTGAAGATCAAGCCATTTGAACCCGGAGGCCCTTCAATGAAGAGCAAGCTATATATACAAGCCCTTCTTTGAAGATTAAGCCACTTGAAACCCGGAGGCCCTTCAATGGTGGAGTGTTCAAGGCATCCAATTGAAGAATCAGAGGACATCCAGAGACTTGTACTTACACCCCATTGATATTTGACATGTACCCAGAATTTTGAATTTCTAAATATATATTCAATTTTCTTTGTTCACACCAACAATCAAGAGCAATGTGATTCAGCTTACCACATATTTGACATGTTGGTTTGTCACCTTTTGATTGCTGTACAATTTCATTTCTTTGATCCTTTTTGAAGCTATTGGAACCAATATTGTTGTAACGTCCTGCCGGAGTAAATCCTCTACCTCTTGAATTAAAACTCCCGCGACGTCCACGTCCATGTTGGCTAAAGAGTGCTTGATTATATTCAATATATTTTTTCTCTTCTTTTTGAGAGGCAAGGATCTGCTCATACCCCTGAAGAGCAAGTAAAAATTGATTAAATTTAAGATAAGGAGGTTTAGTTACCATAGCTAGACGGAAGCTTTCATATTTTGCTCCTAGTCCACGTGCAAATTGAAAAACTTTAGTTATCCATGTATTTTGTGGTATGTTAGAAAATTTTACCAAAATTCAAAACAATTGTTTGACATTGGTAGTCATCAACCTATTTTGTTATGTAAAAAAGGTATATCAGTAATACCCTGTTTCCTAGTAGTGATAATGTTTGTGATGGGGATTATTTCCCGGGCACTGTTGCACTGTGCTTATACGGTGGTTGGTAACGAATTCTTGGGGTGGGTCAAGCTCGACCCAACCACGATCGACCTAAAGGGCATGCCTTCCCGACCTTCCGTGCTCATAGGTCTAATCGAAGAGTAAGCTCGTGGGTGGCCTTACAGCCTTCTGCTCACCGACTTGTTTAGGTCAGACCAACCTACTAGTGTCTCGTGGCATAACGTTGTGTGCTCAGGAATATCGAGGCACGTGGCCAAGGTCTCTTGTGCCTCATCCTGAATCCGTGCATGACCTCCACGTGCCGCGCATGCCGTCGGCTCGGGACCTGTCTCATCAAATCCCCTAGAAATGCCACATTTATTGTTGTCAGGGAGGACTTTTGGTTATTTATACTCACTAGCTATTAGCTCGGACTCCTCTGATCGACTGTCACGTATATCGAGCTCTTCCTACTAAATTAGACTTAGAATCCGAACCCGGAACCGACCTAGAATTGTACTCTGTAGACAATACTCGTCGTATATACTACATGCTTAAAAAAGTAAAATAATAAAAGTAATAAAAATTAAAGTCAAGAACAAAATGTAAAAATACTTTATAATTGAGCAATGAAAAGTGAAATAAATTAAAAGTTTAAATTTTGTCAATTTTATACAAAGTACTCATTAAAGAAAAAATTTCTTTTGACAATTTCATTTCTTTGTTAAATTTTTGGGCGTGAGATATAGGCATTTTCGGTTCAACAAAAAATTGCACAAATTAATTTATGTAAAAGGAAAAATAATTATGGAGTAAGATGGACGTCAGCGTAATGGAAGCCGAAAGGGAAAGGCGGGCGACCTTGGGCGAGCCTTCAAGTCTCCGTCTTCTCTCTCTCTCTCTCTCTCTCTCTCCTCGTGCATGCACTACTACACTAGTGTTCTGCTTTTTCACAGTTTTACAGTTATACTCCTTTTCTTCCTTTCCCATTTCTCTCTCTCTCTCTCTCTCTCTCTCTCTTTGCATGGAGATTTTTTCTTAATTGCCTCCACCAATTCACAACTTTTCCTACGGCCCAAATTTCACCCCCACCGCCTCCCCCTCCACCTCTTACCACCGCCCAGTAGCCTTCACGTATAGTAATTCCTTGATTTTACTGCTCTATCCCGTTTGATTGCTTGTTTCTCGAGTACACGCGTTATAATTTTGCTGTACGGAGTAGTTGGTTTGGTTCCTTTTTCTGGGCTTTCTGTCAAAGGTTTGTTCTTTTTGTTGTTTTTGTGTTGAATCATGACAGCTTCTGGAGGTTTATTAGGGATTTATGAGAATTGGGCGCAACCAAAATATCTGCCGGAAACTCAGTAGCTTTCACGTACGGTATTTCTCAGTTTCACACACTGTTCAAACACTCCCCTTAGCTTATGTCTCCAGTATATGCGTATTAATTTTGCTGTTTGGAGTAATGGGTTTGATGTTTTTGGTTGTTTTTCTGTTAAAGTTTTGTTCTTTTGGCTGTTTTTGTGTTGAATCTTGAAGAACTATGGTGTTTCTGTTAGGGATTGGTGAGAATTGGGGCGAGGAATGGGTTCGAAGGAGTGCATGAATGGGCTTTGCAGGGCCAATTCATTGGTCCAGTGGAAGAAAGGATGGCCACTGCGATCTGGTGAACTTTCCACACTCTGTATTACATGCGGGTAATTCATTTATTTTATCTATCCATGTCTTAAAATTATTTCAATTTATACAAGGATCTCCAGATTTTGAGGGCTTAATCCTTTACTTGGATTTACGTGCATGATTTTAGGAAAATGTTATCTCCATGTAAAAAAGGTTCCTTAAACAATTCCCCCTTTTCTTTTTGTCCTAATCTGTAATTTAGTTTCCTGTTCTTGGTTTGAGGTGTACTAGGATCATGTTTGGTTGCATGCAATAGGAGATTAGAACGTATAAACACAATGGGTAATTACATTTGCAATCAGGTTATCATATGGTTTCATTGTTGATTGTGGCAAACCCATTGATTTTCATCCTTTGTTGTTATCCAAGTGACATATTAGTAATTAGAAGTTACGATCATCTATGGATAAAGTCTTTATGCCATTTGATGTTTGTAGGCAGAATTTATGAACTCTTCTTATTTTTATTGCATTAATTCTTTGAAGGAGGCTATATTACATTAGAATTTGGGTTTTCTCAGGACTGCTTATGAACAACTAGTCTTCTGCGATGTGTTCCACTCAAATGACACCGGTTGGAGGGAGTGCAGTTCTTGTGGAAAGGTGAGTTTGCTGGTTCGGGTCATACTTTAATCTCGATTCTTAGGGGAAATAATTGATTGATTTTGATATTGGCAGCGCCTTCACTGTGGATGTATTGCTTCTAGCTCTCTGCTTGAACTGCTCGAGAGTGGTGGCGTGAGTTGCATCAGCTGTGTGAAAAGTTCTCAACTTCACAACGTAAGATAAATTTATCCCCTTAATCTTTAGGAATTAGCTAGGAAACATAATCACATAATCATATCCATGTCTTACGAGGATTCTTAATCTCTGACTGTTGTCTCTCCCTTTTTGAGCAGACGCTAACTCAAGAGAAAGATAAAGGATGTACTGCAAATAGTCTAGGAGAAGAACATTCAACATCGGGGGGAAGTCAAATGAATGGTTGTAACATCGAGAAAACAACAAATATGCAGTTTGATGATGGTTCCGAAAGTCTTTCTCGTAAACCTTCTCTTCCATCCCAATATGATACTAGAAGCAACCCACTTTGCCAAATAAAACTGGAAGAAGCTTTTAATCCTACCGGGGAAGGTGGAAGCACGTGCCCGTTAAACTTCAACCAAGGATTATTTGAATCGTCTCAACCCTCCAAATCCAAACTATATAATACACATATAGGGGCAAAGGAAGTGCCTGGATCCCCGGTTCAAACCAACTTAAGTATATCACTGTCTGTTCCTTCAGGCAACGCAAATATTGGTGGTGAGACAGTAGTTGAAGAACGGGAATTGGGCAAGATGATTTCTTCCTTTGCACAAGGGTCTAGGTCTCGCCATATTGTTCCCAAACCGCCAAAATCCTCCTTTGCTGCTGGATTGGAGACAACTGCTAGCATGGTTCCACAGATACGTGTTGCTAGGCCACCTGTCGAAGGAAGGATAAAGAATCAGTTGCTTCCACGTTACTGGCCCAGGATAACGGATCAGGAATTGCAGCAAATATCGGGAGAGTATCCTTAATGATTATTCAATTTAATAATTGGTTTCATTAACTTTGATCTAATAGTTAATGCTGTAAATGGTTTCCTTTACCATATGCTTCTGAAGCTCAAATTCCACCATTGTACCTTTATTTGAAAAGGTCTTGAGTGCTAGTGATGCTGGTCGAATTGGACGTTTGGTACTTCCAAAAGCATGTGCCGAAGTAAGCTTCTCTTATGTGCTTATTCTTTTCTTACCAAGATATAATGGGCACCTATTTTTTCACCCAAGACTCTCATTTTATATCAACTATCTTCCCAAAAAAGATTTTCCTTCCCCTTTTCCTTTTATTTATATTTGTTAGGATCAAACGCTTACTGCTATGCTAAAAAGCTATAGCTCATAGCGAAAACGCAACTTTATTTCCTTATACCGCCACACAATTTCGAGAGCCAGGGTGCTGGACTTGGCCCTTTACTGGCCTCCGCCCAACAATCCCCCTAGCCACATGGTTCTGGACTTGGCCTTTACCGGCCTCGACCCAATCATATTTATTTATTTGTTATCAATATCTTCCCTCCAAAGTGTTTATTTTAACTTGTAAAATGGTTCAGGCATATTTTCCGCCAATTTCTCAACCAGAAGGCCTCCCTCTAAGGATTCAGGATATAAAGGGGAAGGAATGGGTGTTCCAGTTCAGATTTTGGCCAAATAATAATAGCAGAATGTATGTTTTAGAGGGAGTAACCCCCTGCATACAGTCCATGCAATTACAAGCGGGAGATACTGGTATATTTGAAATGTGTTATGCCCTTCGTTTATGATGCCATTTGCCTCATGTTAAATAAGAAAATGTTGTCTTTGGAATTCATAAACTTGTTATTTTGAGCTTTGTTTGTCCTTCGTGTCTCATCCTGTCAAAGTTTATGCATTTCAGTAATTTTCAGTCGGATGGATCCCGAAGGAAAGCTTTTAATGGGGTTCAGAAAAGCATCAAATGCTATCCCAGCTCAGGTAACACGCTTCTTTTAACTCATTTTTTCAAGATACAATTGGTTCAATGGTTTAGTACACATCCCGACATTTAATAAGTGGCATTTATTTTCCTAGCAGGATGCAAACTTAGGTGTCATACCTTGTGGTGCCTTCTCAAACGAAACTTTCTTCTCAGCTGTCACGGAGAGCGTACCTATAATGAGTGGCTATTCTGGCATGCTTCAATCCTTCAGAGGAAGCAGAGAGGCTTCTCTGAACGCATCGTCTAAACATTTAAGTGGCGGGGATTTGAGCTGGTACTTAAATGAGAAGATCGGCAACAAGAACGGGGATGGTCCACATTCCCTATCACTCATGACTTCAGAACGCAAAAGAAGTCGAAATTTAGGTTCAAAAAGTAAGAGGTTGCTTATGGACCGGCAAGATGCTTTGGAGTTGAAGCTTTCCTGGGAAGAGATACAAGATATGCTCCGTCCACCTCTCAGTGCTAGGCTGAGTACTGTTATGATTGAGGACCACGAATTTGAAGAATATGAAGTAAGGAAAGCTCGGTGCATTACTGTTGAATAGTTATTGAAATCTCTCTACAGATGTAATTCTTGCCTCATTTCTTATGGTGTTGTAGGAACCGCCTGTTTTTGCAAAGAGAAGTATATTTACTGTCCGCTTATCCGGGTAAGAAGATATACTAGGATACTGCATTTAAAGACCACCAATGATCGGTCCTAGGAGTTACAATGTGATTCTGCCTATAGATACATTTAGTTAGCAATAAGAGTGAGATGAGTTAGCTTGGTAAAACTGGTAACACAGGGAGCAGGAACAATGGGCTCAATGTGATAATTGCTTCAAATGGAGAAGGCTTCCAGCTGAGTATCTTCTACCACCTCAGTGGACATGTCGGGACAATATTTGGGATGTTGGCAGGTCAGACCTTTGAATGTGAAGCTGTTGTATTAAAGCAAAAAATTACTTTTCTAATTTTTCAAGTATTTATGTCCTTAGGTGCTCATGTTCTGCGTCAGATGAGTTAGCACCCCAAGAGCTTGAATGTCTTCTCAAAATGGATAAAGGTATGTTTATAACATATTTCCAAAAAAAATTGCTGATAGTGTGTGCCAGCTGATTTTTGTGGAACGATGTTCAATCATTTTGGGGTGATGAGGGAAACCCGTAGCCACTACCCAAGGTGTGCACGGGGTAAACCCCGCCTTACCCTTTGCCGCACGGGGTAAACCCCGCCTTACCCTAGCCAGCAAATGACCACAAGGAGGTAAACCAGCTTAGGTTGCCCATAGCTGACCGGGATTCAAACTCGTGATCTTGTGGTTATAAGTTAGTATCTTTAGCTATCTTGGCTGGGGTTACACCTTACTTTGTATATATATATATAGGGTTGCATTCAAATATAAACCTCCTTAAAATACAAACTTGAGCTCGTGCACACATTAACATGCACACAGAGCGCACTGCCAACAATTGTTGGGATTAGCTCGTGCACACATTAACATACTTACATGCACACAGCGCGTACGAGGAAAAATCACAACCATCTATCAAAACTCGTACACACATTAATATACTTACATGCACACAACGCGTAGGAGAACAAAAATCACAACCATCCATCAAAGCTCGTGCACACATTAACACACTTACATGCACACAGTTTGTATTTTAAGGGGGATTTGTATTTGAAAATAATCCTCTCTATATATATGTGTGTGTGTGTGTGTGTATTTGCTCTGTTAGTATTAAGATAACAATATTTTTTGGTTTGTTGCACAGACTTGAAGAAACGAAGAAATGCTACAAGCCACAAGTCAGTAAACACAAAGGGTTCTTGTGATGTGGATGCTCAGGCAAACGGTGGAGGTCCTCGAGATGATGTGCAGGAGCCTGGGTCTTCCTCGGTGGCGACAACCACTAAACACCCTAGGCATCGCCCTGGCTGCTCTTGCATTGTATGCATCCAACCTCCCAGCGGGAAGGGCAAGCACAAGCCTTCGTGTTCGTGCAATGTTTGCATGACTGTGAAACGCCGTTTCAAGACACTAATGATGCGCAAGAAGAAACGCCAATCAGAACGGGAAGCAGAACTTGCCCAGAGGAATCAGTTCGTGTGGGGTGCCAAGGAGGAGGCAGAGGTGGACAGTATTCCTCGACAAGTGAAAGTGCAGCTGCATCTTTCGGAGAAAGAAAGATCGGGGAGTGACTTACAACCGAGTGGTGGGCAAAGTAGCGATCAGCTTCACAAGATTCCCGAATCGGGATCAGGGAAAGCGCCATTAGACTTGAACTGTCACCCGGACAGAGAAGTTGCAGGTTCATCGTCCCGTGTTAGTATGGTGAGTCTTCTTCAACGAGCCAGCTTGCCTCTCGAGAATTATCTAAAGCAGAATGGTCTAATGAGCCTGGCTTCTGAGCAACAAGGAAGCTCGGGATCACAGGCGGTGGTTCCCCAAGATGCTGGAGAGAACGAGGTACAAGCTCACGAGGATCAGTGTAATGCTACTGCAGTTGAAGAACATGACAGCGATTTTTGTGACGAACTTTCTGAACGAGACGAATCCGCAAAAGAGCCTTAATCAAGAATTCCCATTATCTGAATATACTTTTCATGCTCGCGCCACCACACTGAACCAAACAGCAACTTGGTCTGTCATTTTCTCGTATTTGTTGATTCCTTTTATAGCTAGGCAGGCTTAATTCTACCAAGTAGTTTGATCATACAGATTGCACCTCAAGTTATACACCTAAAGATACTATCAAAGGGATGGTTGTATTGATAATTTAACATACATGAAGGTATTTGATTTTACTGAAACTTGACTGTGAACTGTGAAAAGTGTAAACAATCTTGTTGCTGGCCATGAATGGTTTCATAGTTGATGATCACGTGTTTCAAGAAAAATCACTATAGTCGAGGATTAAATTGGATAAAATGTATAGTTGAAGAATAATTAAAGTAAAACTATTATAATCGATGACTGAATTAAATATTAATAGAGGTAAAATACCAAGTTATCTTAACAAATACTCAATCGGGTAAAACCATCAAAGTTGAGGAGTTAATTAAGCAAAACACGTCATTTAACTAAATCGGAAAAAATCACTGTAATCAAGAACTAAAAATCACTGTAACCAAGAACTAAATTGGGTATTAACTCGTTTCACTCTTGCCAACTTAATTGTTTCTTGCATTTGATGGAATTTCACCATGTACAATTTGAGAGACAATGCAAAACACTAGAATATATAAATGCTTGTGTTAAATCACATAATGGACAGAAGGAGAAGAACAATGCCTTGATCATTACAGAAATGAAACTAGTTAAAAAAATTTGTTAAAAACAGGTTTATTCACTTCCCAAAAATGTCTAATGGCAACAGAGTCTTCATTGAAGTGGTTCCAAAAATCCATGATGCCTGAAAAACCCACCACAGATGCAACCAGAAGGACCATGAAAACCCACAAATTTCTTCTCAGGAAATGCTTGAAGAGCCAGGTAACACACAACAGTGTGGTTGAGCCAAGTATAAAAACCCCATCTTTACCTTTCTTGAAAACAGATCTGCTCAAGAGGCCAACAATTGCTCCCACTGAACTCCAGGGAAACAATTCCTGCACCTTAAAATCATCAAATCTCACGTTTTCTGAATTTTTCTGGGTTTGAGCAGATCTTGGACGCCTTCGAATGCGGAGCTTTTGAAGAAATCTGCGGAGCCTTGAGTTGGACGATGTTGGAGTTGTGGGACTGGAAATGGTGGGTTCAGATTTTAGTGTGATGAGAAATAGTGTGAAGAGCTTCAGTTTGAGCGAGAATTGGAAGAAGGTGCAATTGCAATGGCGAAAGAGACTGGTCGCGGACAGCTTGAAATGAAAGCTCTTGGCTTTGGCTTGAATGTTGAGCCGCCATGACTGGTGGTGATTCATCACCCTCGTAATTCTGCAGAATGGGAATCGCCCGAGTGTTGATCCCTTGGAGGATTGGCTCTTCACTAGCCGTTACAGTTTTTTGGGCTTCTGGGCCAGTTAGTAATCTCTTTGGGACATAATGGTCCATGTCCTAAACTGCGTGTGGCCCAAAACCTTTTTAGAGGCAAATTATTGTGTAGGCAGTCCAAAACGATGTCGTTTTGTTGTTAAAAACAAATTATTTGCTCTCTGCGTGTTAGAATAATGTACATTTTTGGATAGAATAATATATAGTATTTAATGAGTCCGAATAATATATTTTACGTGTTAGAATAATGTACTTTTATGTGTTAGAATAATGAAATTTTAGGGGTAGAATAATATAATTTATGAGTTAGAATAATGCATTTTATGAGTTAAAATAAGAGAAAATGACATATTTGGTCCTTGAGTTATTATCATAGTGGCGACTCAGTCCATGAGTTATAACCGTATCCATTTATAGTCCCTCGGTTATGAACTAAGTGGCGTTTTTGATCCCTACCGCTAGTTCGTGCTTTGTTGACAGTGTTAATTTAAGGGGTAAAAAAGTAAAATATTAAATAAATAAAACTTATTACCCATTTTTATTTATTAAAACCCATTCCCCCAAAATAAAATAAATTTTCCTATAAAACATAGTCATCCGCGTGTTCCCCCTTCCCCCAAATTGACAAACCTAATTGCAACGTAAGAAAGAAGTTTCGAAGCTTAAGCAGACGATGAAAACGTACTTTGCAGCTCAGAAGGAGAACAAATCCTACACTACAATGACTTCTAGAATTTTGTTGGTCACAAATCAACTACTCACTTGTAAGTGTTTTTGTGAAATTAGAGTTTTAATAACTTTTGAGTTTTTGTGTTTTTTTAGCTGCGAATGTGCTGGGTCCATCTTTCAGTTTTTTTTTTTGTTTTTTGTTTTTTTTTTTTTTTTGTTTTTTTTTTTTTTTGTGTGAATGTGTGGTCCATGTGAGGGGGAGTGAATATTCTTTTACTACTAAAATGATTTTTGTCTTGTAAAGCCATGTATGTATGTCTGCTAATTTTTTTTTTTTTTTTTTTTTTTTTTAATTGTTGAGCGAATGTGCTGGGTTCATGTCTGAGTTAAATTGGAGTTAAATTAGCAAACTTATCTGAACCCACATAGCTCTTTTATAGAATATAATTGCCATTCAAGATGGAAAAGTTAACCTTATCTATCAAACATAATAGACAAATTTCAAGCTCTTCCCCAAATTCTAATCACCCAAATTCCAGAATAATTCAACGGGATTAGGTGCTTGGATAATTAAGTTTACTTCACTGCTACTAATACAACAGTGCAAAATGTTTTCTATTGAAAATGCAGATGAACTAGTGAAAGGGAGTAAAACTGAGATATCAGGTTCTGTGGGGGAAGAGTTCTCAGGGTCTATGGATGAAGGCGGGGAGAAAGACTGTGTGGAATCAGAAGATGAGCTTAGAAACATTGGTTCAAGCTCAGATATTGAAGGTGAAAATAACTTGTTGGTTTATAGGGAAGGGGATGAGAAAAAGAATGATTTTAACTACAAAGTTGGCAGGCTTTTCAGTAGCAACTCTCAATTTAAATGGGTTGTAGAAGTGCATGAAGCAGTGAATAGAAAATCAATTAAGTTCACCAAGAATGACAAATAATGTTTGATCATTTTCGCATTTATTCGAATTCCACGTATAAGTAGATATGAGTGCGGTTCGGTTCCTGTTCACAATTCTAGAAAATGATAAATCGTAACGAGAACCTTTTACGAAGGTTCCAGTTTTGATTTGAACCGCCAGTTCGGTTCCAATTCACAGTTCTTGAAAAATGATAAATCAGAACAGGAACCTTTTAGGAAGGTTCCAATTTCAGTTTGAAACTCTCGAGTTCAAAATTTATTTATTTATTTTTGTAAATTCTATTTCTTATTTTTAAAATAGTCTAAATTCAACAATTATTTTATTTTTATTTTTTCGGTTATGAATCGAAACCAGAGTTGTCCCTACTGTTTAGGTTCGAACCGAACTGTGATCATCCATACATATAAGTAATAATTTGTTCGAGAACAAAAATAAATGAAATATTTGTTTTTATGGATAAAAATGTCCATCCAACATAAAAAGGAGAAAAAAATGCTATAATTAAGTATATAACTCAGAAGGAAAAGTATTATTTTCCCTTTTTAATATAGTGAAAGTTAATTTTGAAATAGTATATCAAACAGTGAACCTTTAATATTAACTTTGGCGAACAAAAAAATAATGTAAAAATGAAATTTGAAGTTCATGTACCCAAGTGATATTTCGCATGAAAGTAATCAACAATAACATTCGACCACTACTATAGAAAACGGTTTTAACGTCGGTTAAAATATCCTTTTTAACGTCGATTAAAATACCTCATTTAACGTCGGTTATCTTTCGACGTCAACTTTAAAGACGTAGTAAGTAAATGATACGACGTCGGTTAAATAACCGACATCGTATATTTTTTTAAATTAAATTAATTAACATACGACGTCGGCGGTTAATTTTTAAAAACTATATGACGTCGGCTTTACCCTAAAAGCCGACGTCGTATGTTTTTTTTTTTTTTTTTTTTTTTTTTTTTTTTTTTTTTTTTTTTAAATAATACGACGTCGGATATTTAGTAAATATCCGACGTCGTATATATACATTTTTTTATATTATAATTTTTTTTATGGTTTCTACACCAACTTGTATCAATTTTCAGATCCTGCGTAGCTAGCAATTTAACATTCAACATCAACTAATTCATTAAACTAATTCAAACTATTAAACATGAAACTAATATAAAGAACACAATTCATTAAACTAATTCAAACTACTAAACATAAAACTAATATAAGTAACACAATTCAACAAAACTACTAAAATCAAGCCAATAAACATAAACTAATTTTAAACGTAAAGTATCAACTAAGAAGCGTTTTATTAACCCATTCATCAATAAGAAACTTAGACCATTTGTCTCTAACTTCATCAATCTCTTGTTTGTTGTAGGGCAATCTTCCTTGTCTTTTCAATGCCTACAAAGTTCAAAAGAAATAAAAATAATAAATAATCAAGTATTTTTAAACATTTGAAGAAAAAAGATATATTATTAAATTACTTGCCTTATCAGATCAATTCCTTTGCTTAGGTTGTTGGAAACAATTTCCAACATGAACTTCATCACATAATAACCACATTCGGTGGTTCCTTTTTGTATAGCACGATACATTTGAATTACAATAAAATTAAAATAAATTAATAAAAAACAATATGTTTGCATGTTTTACAAAGTCAATGAAATACTTACCGAACATATAGTCCATTTTAGTGGACGATTTTGTTTCTTTCCACTCATCATGTTTGTTGCAGTCATACACCTATTAATATAAGACATAAAAAATATATAAATACTTGGCATCACTAGTTTAATGATAACTATTAATTAATTATATAAATTTACATACGTTTCCATTATATGTTTAATGTCTTCACGCGGCCCATGACCAAGTGAATCAAACCAAAAAATTTCATTTAGTCGAGGGCAAATCGCCATCAACATCCAATGCTCACTACAAATAAATAATTTATTAGTTTTAAGTGAATATAATATATAATAAAAATATATTATATATAAGTACTTTTATTTAAAACGTACTTAATACTTACTTGAGAACATATGGGGCTAAGTATACCAATTTCTTGCCAGACTGCATGGTGGCATTTATATACGATTTCCTGTCCTCCATATTATTCATTTGTGGTTGAATCCAATATGGATCTAGGAAGCCATACATGTCTTTTGATGCCAACTCAAAACTAATGTAAATACCCCTATTCACAAATACAACCAATTATATATAGATTACCAACTATATAAATATAAAACTATTATAAATAAATAATACTAAAGAACTTATTACCTCATAAAGAACTGAACTAGAGAAACATCGATGGTCTCAATTTTTAAGAAACACATTATCTCATCACTTGCCAGGTACAAGTCATAGTCAATGTTGCCCATAATACCACGAGCCACATGGACCACAAGATGGTGTTCAAAATGGCGAGCCATTGAAAAGGCCTTTTTGCATCCATCAGTCAAAGAATCTGGATTAACTATAGTGAATTGTTGATGTACGGATTGCACACCCGATTGAAAAGTCAATTTGGTCTTTTCTTTTGACAGTGAATTATAATACAAGTAAGAATTATTATTTTAAAAAGTAAATTACTTACTATTTTACAAATAGAAATATTTTCATTGTACATACCGCATCAGCTTCAGTACATAAATTTACCAGCTTCTTTGGTCAAGTAATAAAGTGTTGAATTGCATCACCTACAAGCTGAACCTCACTAGTGGGGATTGGTACATGTGCACTTGGATCACTAACTTCATTTACTCTCACCTTCACATGATTTATATCCAGTACAACCCCATGAACCTGTCCACCACTGTAAGCTATCCCATATGCCACTGGCTGTCTAATTGGATCTTCTAAAAACAATTGACATCGTGCCCCTAACTGCATTAAATTTTAATTAAGATTCATATAAAATTTTATTGAAAAATAATAATAATAATAATAATAATAATAATAATAATAATAATAATAATAATAATAATAATAATAATAATAATAATAATAATAATAATAATAAATGAATACTTACAGCCGGTAAATTACTAAAAGGGTCCGGGGAAGGGTTTGTCACTTCGAGATGGTATCTCAGCATCCACACATACGTCATTCCCCTGCTTTGAATGTACAGATTGGTGAACAGGAGTCTGTAGAGAACTAAATTGTAGCATCATCTGAGCCATGCGTGCCTCAAATTAATCAGTTAATCGTTGACTCAATTCCTCCTGCTGAGCAATAATTTTCTGATTTTGTTTTTCTAGCGCTAGTGCAACAGCAGCATCAAGACGTGCATTAACAGCAGCATCAACCAATCATTGAACATCGTCAGGAGTCTTTTGATGATGTTTTGCATGGCCAAATACACTTTTGATGCCATGTCCTCTTCCCATGGCTCTAACACGTCCAGGATGCTCATCAGTACCCAATGCAACAGTCAATGAATCTTGTCTTCCATCCTCAACAAATTCTCCTTGAGAAATTTGCAACTCAAGAGCATCGTAACATATATAAAAATTATTCAATAATAATTACTATTACTTTAGTAAATGACAACATATTTACTTACAATTTTTTCCACCACCAATCTTGTTGATTCAGTGCGATAATTTCCTGACTTGTCAATTCTTGCTTTCTTCCACTTTTCGGCTCTACGTGGAGGACTTGGAGGACTCATTGTATACGATGGATCTGCATCAACACATGCTTGTTTTTCTTTCAACTTCTCATCCATCATCATCTTCTCCAACCTTTTATAACCTCCTCGAGCTAAACGATGTGGATGAATATTCTTAGCTTGTATGTCTTGATATTTTTTTCTTTTTGCCTATATAAGGGAAAATGTCACTTTTTCCCCCTGTGTTATATGCTTATAGCACTTTTTCCCCCTGAGTTATTCATGCATTCACATTTGCCCCCTCAATTATTATAAAAGTGGTGGTTTTTCCCCCTGATAATATTAAATGGACATTTCTACCCTTAAAACAAATATTTTATTTTTTTCTCTTCTTCACCAAATTATTACTTATACGTAGGGATGACCACGGTTCGGTTCGAACTGAACCAAACACTATAGCAATCAAATTAAAAAATTTCGATTATGATTCATAACATAACCCAATATTTGGGTTTCCGTTTATTAAAATCGTGAACTGGAAAAAAAATGGATCTTGAATCGTGAACCGGAGGTTCAAATCGGAACAACTACTAGCAATAGCTTAAATTATAATTATAATATTTGCAAATAGTGTATGTTTTTTCCCGCATTTATATTGACTCTCACATATAAGTATATATAATCGCGATTTGAGTTTTATTTTGAACCGTCGGTTCACGATTTTGGATCCAATTTGAACGGTTGGTTCAAACTTTCTTTTAAAATTTTATTTTTTTATTTTTAAAATATTCTGAATTTAACACTTAATGTATTTTATTTTTTCAAATCGTGGTTATAATTTGTTGGAGAAGAAAAATAAATGAAATATTTATTTTAAGGGTAAATATGTCCATTTAATATATCAGGGGGAAAAACTGCCACTTAAATAATTTAGGGGGAAAAAGTGCTATAAGTATATAACAAAGGGGGAAAAAGTGCCATTTTCCCCCTATATAAATACAAAATATTAATCAAACTCCTTCCATGTCCCTCATAATAATGATAGAGTTTATGTTCGAAATATTGATAAAATAATAATGACACATCATATTCTGGACCTGTATGCGACTTTACAAACTCAACTCATGTCTCTTGTTCAATGAAGTCGTATTTTTTACAAGGGTTCATACCTGCAAAACGATCGTATATAAACTTGTTCACTAATTTCGCTTTAAAATCTTTCCACCGATCACCCACATATTTTATCCATTCTTTCCTCATATCAATTGTGTCGGGAATGTCATAAGTATTCTGCAAAACAAAATTATTTATTAGTTAGAAATGTAATTATAGAGAGTTTATGAATAATTAAAAAATTAAAAGTTACTAGGATTTGTTTCCAAATAGTACTCTTAATAGTTGCTGGGACATTCGACCATTCATCTATTGTTATAGGAGTATGGA